CTGGGGTTGATTGGCTTGATTACCATGGGTTACAGGCTGGGGTTGGTTGGCTTGATTACCATGGGTTAGAGGCTGGGGTTTGTTTGCTTGATTACCATGGGTTAGAGGCTGGGGTTGGTTTGCTTGATTACCATGGGTTACAGGCTGGGGTTGATTGGCTTGATTACCGTGGGTTACGGGCTGGGGTTGGTTTGCTTGATTACTGGGGGTTACAGGCTGGGGTCGAGCAGATTCTTTTTCTAAAATTGATTATTAATAAAAGTTGTCTGAGTAAACTTTTTAATGGTAATGATAACATGTTGCAGTTCAAACGGAGGAACTGCTGGAGCGAGCTCGTAACATCAAGTCAACAGGAGCCACGGCTGCCTATGATGATGAGTTTAACCGTCTGGAGGGCAAGCTACGTCAAGTGGAGTCTCTGCTGACCGGCCCCAGCATCACCGTGCAGGATCTGGATGGCCTTCATAATGACCTGGATGAAATCAGGCATGTTTGGGCTCATTGATGTGGGAATTATTGAAGGACAAGCTGGCTAGCTCACATGAGGCAATTGTGGCCATTGTGTTGATGCTGTGGGTACAAATTAAATAAGTGGGAATTGGTTTCTTGTGTTCAAACAGTGGATGCCACTGATTCTGGCTGAATATGCATAATGCAGTAGTGTCATGGCAGACATTTTTTCAGGGCGACTACCTGCCAATAGAGGCACATCACTGGGTCAGTGAGTCATCAGGGCTGAGATTTGTCTGGATTTCTCCTGATTTCAGGATTTTTCCATTGGGATTTTCCTGATTTCAAGCTCTCTTCAGTCTCTTTTAAATCTGGAAAATCACGAGTTAATACCTTTAAGTTGTTTTTACATATGAAAAGTGATGTAGAAACAAAGAAATGGGTATTTTAATGAATGCTTTTCAGCAAACACTGATGTATACCTAAGACCTTATGCTGCTGTAGGTCCTCAAAATCTCTGGTTATTACTTCATGAATATGTCACTTTCCTCCAATGTCACCCCTGATTCATGATGGCCTCAGCCGAACATTAGGTTGTGTGTGTCCTAGTTACTTGGCTGGGCCTTGAAATGATGCAGGAATCTGTGGTAGTGGCTACAGTTGATTCTTACAGTTTCATGTGTAATTTCAAGTGATGAAGGTGAATTGGGTCCTTACATGCTTGAGAATTTTTCTTCGAACCTGTGGGACTGTACTGAGTATACCATGATTGTCAAGGATAAGTTTAGGGCCAAACCCAGTTTCGAATCAGACATCCTTAGAAGAAATTTTCAGTTGGCTTTTGAGGTCCATTTCCTCCCCTGCAACAAATTCTGTGAATTTCCTGTGAATACTTGACTGAACATCTTTGTTATTATATTCTAGGGCTGATCTGGATGATCTAGTCCAAAAGCTGGATGCTGTGAACAATGATCTCCAAAGGACACAAGTGGAGACATTCCGTGCCAACCGTGAGCTGGGTGCCTTAGAAGCTGAGGGGTTGACATTGAACCTAGATGCTGAAGATCTCAGGGATGAGATTGTCATCATTGAATCTTCCAATGTGGAAGGTAGGACCATTGACATCAGTTGCCTGCCAGGAGTCTGATTTCTAAGAATTTTTCTCATTTTCAGGATTTCTTTAGCCCCAAAGTTCCAGATTTGCAGAGGTTTAATCATTCAGGTTTTGCTCATTTCTTGGCATTTTGTAAAAAAAAAAAAATTGCAAAGTTTGCATAATTTCTTGCCGCTTTGCTCTGTCCTATTAAAAGTTCTGCAAAGTCAGATTGCTTTCAGTGCCACAGCCCCTCTACTGGATGTGTGGTGGATTTCTCTAAATACCTTAGTATCACTCTGACCTAATTCTATAAAATAAGAGTTTTGTCCCCAAACCTGACATTTGTACTTTGTAAGATTTTGCAATGAAACAGCATATTTTGGAGATTTCGAATTGTCAACTTTAATTGATATTTCAAGAATAAATAATTTCTCTGTGGTTGTTGAGAAAGGTTGTTTGGGAAGGATCAACATAATTGATCACTTTTAGGGGAGGGGAGAGAATATTGTTGGAAGGCATGAGGTGGTTTTGTAGGCTTTATTAATATTGTGGTTATAGGTCTGATATGAATTACAAAATTGATAAAAAACAAGGTGATTTAAATAAGGGTAATTCCAGAAATTAGGGGTCCATTTTTTTCGTGTCCCTGTCACTTCTGACATATGATTTTGTTAGTTGAGAATGCAAATTACCTGCCAAACAAATACTGTAGTTGTAGTTTGAATTCAATTCCGGTGATATTTCTATGTCCAATAATAAAGGTCAGATGTAACAGGGACACAAAATGTCACTCTTTTAGACCCCTAATTTCTGAAATTACCCGTAAGTGTGATCATACGTGTAATTGAAATCAGTATTGATGTAAATATAGATGCCCGTTTGATTACTGAATATCTCAAACCTTATGCACATTTAGATATGTTCACAGACAGCAGTAGAAACACAGTGATGACCTATTTTCGATGTTATCCGTCTATTAATTAAACTTCACATTGATGATTGACTGAAAATAATGCTGTCTACAGGAGCCTTCAAGAGCATCTTAGAAAGCCGCAACAAGTCTCAAGCAGCCCAGGCAACAGTTGATGCTGCAGAGGGAGTGGTCTCTGAGTCCAGTGGCATCAGGGACGAGGTGGAGAGAATCATGGCCGAGAGGGAAAGAGAACTAGCCCAGAAACAACAAGATTATCAAGATCGGCTCCGAGAAGTTGACAACCAACTGACTGGGCTGGAAGCAAGGCTAGGGGAACTGAATGAAAAGGTCAGGAGAATTGTATCAAAATGTGAAGAATGAACTGAATGGATGGCTCGGGAGAATTTAGTCAGGATGATTGGAGAAGAAGTGATTCCATCAGTATTGAAATAGTTTCATATGGAATTAATGCTTAGAAACTTATGAATTGAATGAAACAATTATAAAAGTTGAATGTTAGGTTTTGAGTTGTATTGTGTACTTACCCTGTAGTACCTACAGTACATATGTACCTGTGTACTGAGCACTCCTGTAATGTACATGTATGTATGTATAGACAGTGTTTAAACACATACAAATGTACATGTAAAGTATGTGGGAAAAATGTAAGGGATGGGGGGACTTCAAGTGACAGATTGGGATGTTTTGGGGAGGGGTACCTGTAGGAGGAGGATCATGGGGACAAGGTACATGTATGTAAGAAGTGGATGAAATGCTGGATAAGTTTGGTGTAATGGTTGGGCTAGATTAGTGGGATGATTGGACAGCCAGAGTAAGAAGTGAAGGGAATAATGGAGAGGGGGCAGAGTAGGAGATGGATA